CAGTATGTGCTTGTTGTTTACAGCTAACATAAAAATAAACTCGGTGCCCGGAGAGTGCGCATGCGCGGCCGGCGGGACGGACATGTCCCATTGAGGCTCTGTATCCCCGTCGGGTGACAGCGCCACGAAGCAGCGGGTCTCGGCCCGCAATCTACCCCAGGGGGACCCGATCCCGGCAGCAACCCTCCCAGGGTCCGATCCGCCCTGGTCTGCGGTGGATCCCCTGCAGCAGGTCGGAGAAATCCGACAGGACACGTGTCCCTGCGGCGAGCTCCGCACAGGCCCACCCACCACAGCCTACACTATACCCTGGGCAGAGGAGAGAGAGAAAAGGGGGGCTGAGAACTTCATAACAGCCCCCCCGACTGACAAGCGGCAGAATGGTTAAGGGGCACCCCGGCACCAGGTCCCCCCTTCTACCAAATCAATCAAGGAGGCCCTGGCAAAGGCCTCCACAAAGATGGCCACCGCCCCAGCACATGGAGGCAAGAAGATGACAGGTACATATGCAGCCCTACAGGATCCGCAGCCCAGCCATCCCTGCACGTCTGAGGGTGAGTCTGACACTGAAACAGATGTCCCTGCACAAGCCCTGATGCCTGACCTTGCAACCCCTGACCTGTTGACCCGCTTTGAAAAAATGCTACACAAAGCCTTGAAGCAAACATCGGACCGCATCACTGCCACGCTATCTAGGGAAATCCGTGAACTAGGGCAACGCACTGTGGACCTAGAGCAGAGGGTAGATGGTCTTGATGCCACGCTTCAGACACATACGGATGACCTTGACCTCCTGCATGACGAAAACGCAACATTATTGACACGACTGGAGGACTTTGAAAACCGGGCACGACGCTCAAATCTGCGCATTCGTGGCCTTCCGGAAACGATTGTCGATCTCCAATCGACAGTAACAGCTCTGTTCCAAGAGCTTGCCCCAGCTATCCCAATCGAAAGATTGGAATTGGATAGAGTACACAGGGCATTAGCGCAACGACGCACGGATGGTCCACCACGTGACATTATAGCCAAGCTCCACTTTTTCCGCACCAAGGAGCAACTCCTACAAGCTGCCCGTAACGCAGAATCTCTACAGTTCCAGGGTCATTCATACCAATTATTCCAGGATCTATACCCCACAACAATCACCAAGCGCAGGGCTATGAAACCTCACCTACAAGCACTTCAACAACACGCTATACCGTATAGGTGGAGCTTCCCCTTTGCAGTGCGATTCCGATTCCAATCCCGGGATTACACCTGCAAGACTCCAGAAGACCTACTAGACACCTTGCGGATCTTACAACTCCATTCCTCAGCGACACCTTCAGAAAGCGCCAAGCGGAGGTCCACATCCTGCTCGCCACGGAAGTCCCTCCCCACGCGTGCCACGGCAGGTGTCAGGAATGGACTGGCCAGCAATAGTGGGACTCACCTGCCTTGTGAGCTGCAGTACCAGGGCTGGCCAGCGGGTGCTCCCAGCAATCAGAGACTCAACCTTGCAGCCAGTCAAACACCTGGAACTAATTATACTGGTGTATTTAAGGGACATTCAGACCTGCAGACTCTGCCTTGGTGTTGTGTTTCTCTTGGGCCCTGTATCCTGTTCCTGCTCCCTGTTCCTGTCTGATTCTCTGCTGACCCTGCTCTGATCCCTGGCTTGTCTGACCATTCTCCTCTGCCTGACCCTCTGTACCACGCTGCCCGCTACCTGCTGAACCTGGCCTGTGACCCCGACCATTCTCCGCTTGCTCCCCCTGTACCTACCTGCCCGATTGATATTGACCCGGCCTGCCTGACGACGCTTGCATTGTATGTACTGTTATCTGTGGGTGGTTTGGTTTGGTTTGTTTACACTGTGTTATGTTTTAGTATTGCACTGCGTTTATGTTTGTATGGTTAGTGTTATTAAATTACATTGTTTATAACATATCTGAAGTCTGCGTTTCCCTGCGTCAGTCACACACCTCTGGTCATACCCGGGAGCCCTGACATTACACCAAGGCCAATCCTGACCAGAAGTGGCTGCACAGGGAAGCCATCTTGGTTTGTTGATGGGAAGGATGGATCTGGATGAGGTTGCGTATTTATATCTGCTAGTGTTTGATGACAGGGAGTATGTTTATCAAACTCTGAAGGAGTATACCCGGGATGAACTGCTAGAATGTATACGGCTCGCTCATGTTCTAGTAGATCAGGGCATAGAGTTCTCTGAGGTGCAGCCATTGATTGAGGTTTGTGCTGAGTTGGTTTCATCTGGTACCCCCGAATGCAGGGATGAATTTTTGCCACCATTTAGTGCAGACCAGGTAGAGTCCCTGGTGTGGTTATTAGAGGATGATGTGGGTTACTTTCTGGAGCGTTATTCCACATGTTCACCACAGATACTAAGAGATTGTATAAACGCAGTGCAGTCTTTGGTCAGACAGGCTTTGTGTAAGCTCAGCTTTGTTCAACCCATACTGCAGACATGGACAGACTTGTTGCACCCAGCCTCAGTCAGCTTACAAAGACCCAGACCTGCTTCTAATCTATTTCCTCAAAACTCTATTCCTGCATTCCCAACAGCTCCTCCTGTCCTGCGATCTACTGCATGTCAGTACCCTGTTCCCACTCGCTGCACCTATCCTGCCTTTAACCCTGTAAAAAAGCCCTCTGTAGCAACTGCTCCCTCTCCTGTTCCATCCTCCAGTTCTTCTCTGTCTCCAGCTGCTCCATTCGTTTGCAGACCTGCGTTTACTTGCAGTGCTCCAGTAGTTAAAACCAGAAAAAAGCGAAAATTCTTTCCAACCAATACCATCCTGCCAGTATCCAAACCGGTGAACCTGCCTTCCGTGGTTCAGCCTGAAGCCTCTACTCAGCCTGAATCCTCTACTCAGCCTGATGCCTGTACGCAGCCTGATGCCTCTACTCGGCCTGATGCCTCTACTCGGCCTGATGCCTCCACTCGGCCTGAAGCCTCTACTCGGCCTGAAGCCTCTACTCAGCCTGAAGCCTCTACTCAGCCTGAATCCTCTACTCAGCCTGATGCCTGTACGCAGCCTGATGCCTCTCTTCAGCCTGATGCCTCTCTTCAGCCTGATGCCTCTACTCAGCCTGAAGCCTCTACTCAGCCTGAAGCCTCTACTCAGCCTGAAGCCTCTACTCAGCCTGATGCCTCTACTCAGCCTGATGCCTCTACTCAGCCTGATGCCTTTACTCAGCCGGATGCCTGCATTCAGCCTGATGCCGCTACTCAGCATGATGAACTGATCCAGCCTGACGATCCTATTAGGCCAGTTGACTCGATGCCCGCTGTTGATCCAGATGATCCGGTACCTATCCGGTGCCCGCTGTCATGCCAATTGACTCAGAGCCCGCTGTCGTACCTGGTGACTCGGTGCCCACTGCCTTGCCAGATGACGCGGTGCCCGCTGGCGAGCCAAATGACCTGATGCCTGGTGACCCAGTGCCCGCTGTCATACCTGGTGACCCGATGCCCGCTGTCAAGCCAGACAATCCGGTACTTGATGACCCGGTGCCCACTGTCATGCCAGTTGACTCAGAGCCCGCTGTCGTGCCTGGTGACTCGGTGCCCACTGCCTTGCCAGATGACGCGGTGCCTGCTGGCGAGCTAAATGACCTGATGCCTGGTGACCCAGTGCCCGCTGTCATACCTGGTGACCTGATGCCCGCTGCCGAGCCAGACGATCCAATGCCTGGTGACCCGGTGCCCACTGCCTTGCCAGATGACGCGGTGCCCGCTGGCAAGCCAAATGACCTGATGCCTGGTGACCCAGTGCCCGCTGTCATACCTGGTGACCCGATGCCCGCTGTCGAGCCAGACAATCCGGTACCTGATGACCCGGTGCCCGCTCTCGTGCCAATTGAGTCAGAGCCCACTGTCGTGCCTGGTGATTTGGTGCCCGCAGTCTTGCCAGACGACCCGGTGCCCGCTGTTCCGCCAGTTGACTCGATGCCCGCTGTTCTGCCAGACGACTCGGTGCCCGCAGTCTTGCCAGATGACGCGGTGCCTGCTGGCGAGCTAAATGACCTGATGCCTGGTGACCCAGTGCCCGCTGTCATACCTGGTGACCTGATGCCCGCTGCCGAGCCAGACGATCCAATGCCTGGTGACCCGGTGCCCACTGCCTTGCCAGATGACGCGGTGCCCGCTGGCAAGCCAAATGACCTGATGCCTGGTGACCCAGTGCCCGCTGTCATACCTGGTGACCCGATGCCCGCTGTCGAGCCAGACAATCCGGTACCTGATGACCCGGTGCCCGCTCTCGTGCCAATTGAGTCAGAGCCCACTGTCGTGCCTGGTGATTTGGTGCCCGCAGTCTTGCCAGACGACCCGGTGCCCGCTGTTCCGCCAGTTGACTCGATGCCCGCTGTTCTGCCAGACGACTCGGTGCCCGCAGTCTTGCCAGACGACTCGGTGTCCGCAGTCTTGCCAGACGACTCGGTGCCCGCAGTCTTGCCAGACGACTCGGTGCCCGCAGTCTTGCCAGACGACTCGGTGTCCGCAGTCTTGCCAGACGACTCGGTGCCCGCAGTCTTGCCAGACGACTCGGTGCCCGCAGTCTTGCCAGACGACTCAAAGCCTGCTGTTCCGCTAGTTGGCTCGGTGCCCGCAGTCTTGCCAGTTGACTCGGTGCCCGCAGTCTTGCCAGTTGACTCGGAGCCCACTGTCGTGCCTGGTGACTCGGTGCCCGCCGCTCCGCCTGGGTGCCCGAGACCTGTCGCTCCGCCTGGGGGTCCGGCGCCCGTCGCTCCGCCTGGGGGCCTGAGACCTGTCGCTCCGCCTGGGGGCCTGAGATCTGTCGCTCCGCCTGGGGGCCTGAGACCTGTCGCTCCGCCTGGGGGTCCGGCGCCCGCCGCTCCGCCTGGGGGCCCGAGTCCTGTCTCTCCGCCTGGGGGTCTGGTGCCTGTCGCTCCGCCTGGGGGCCTGAGACCTGTCGCTCCGCCTGGGGGCCTGAGACCTGTCGCTCCACCTGGGGGCCTGAGACCTGTCGCTCCGCCTGGGGGTCCGGCGCCCGCCGCTCCGCCTGGGGGCCCGAGACCTGTCGCTCCGCCTGGGGGTCCGGCGCCTGCCGCTCCGCCTGGGGGCCCGAGACCTGTTGCTCCGCCTGGGGGTCCGGCGCCCTCCGCTCCGCCTGGGGGCCCGAGACCTGTCGCTCCGCCTGGGAGCCCGATGCCTGTCGCCCCACCTGGGGGCTCGATGCCTGTCGCCCCGCCTGGGGGCCCGATGCCTGTCGCCCCGCCTGGGGGCCCGATGCCTGTCGCCCCTCCTGGGGGCCTGGCGCCCACCGCTCCGCTTGGGGGCCCGATGCCTGTCGCCCCGCCTGGGGGCCCGATGCCTGTCGCCCCGCCTGGGGGCCCGATGCCTGTCGCCCGTCCTGGGGGCCTGGCGCCCGCCGCTCCGCTTGGGGGCCCGATGCCTGTCGCCCCGCCTGGGGGCCCGATGCCTGTCGCCCCGCCTGGGGGGCCGATGCCTGTTGCCCCGCCGGGGGGCCCGGTGCCTGTCGCCCTGCCTGGGGGCCCGATGCCTGTCGCCCCGCCTCGGGGCCCGGTGCCTGCTGCTTCACCTGGTAATCCGATGTGCCTCTGCCCGGAGTCCAGCCCGATGTGCCTCTGCCCGGAGTCCAGCCCGATGTGCCTCTGCCCGGAGTCCAGCCCGATGTGCCTCTGCCCGGAGTCTAGCCCGATGTGCCTCTGCCCGGAGTCCAGCCCGATGTGCCTCTGCCCGGTGTGCCCCTGCCCGGTGTGCCTCTGCCCGGTGTGCCCCTGCCCGGTGTGCCCCTGCCCGGTGTGCCGCTTCCCAGAGTCCTGCCCGGTGTGCCACGGCCCGGAGTCCTGCCCGGTGTGCCAGTCTTTGATATCCCGCCAGTTACCAGACCCGGGCGGTGGAACATTTTGCCCAGCTAGGACTGTTTGGAGCGTCCTGAGGCCGCTCCTTGAGGGGGGGGTACTGTCAGGAATGGACTGGCCAGCAATGGTGGGACTCACCTGCCTTGTGAGCTGCAGTACCAGGGCTGGCCAGCGGGTGCTCCCAGCAATCAGAGACTCAACCTTGCAGCCAGTCAAACACCTGGAACTAATTATACTGGTGTATTTAAGGGACATTCAGACCTGCAGACTCTGCCTTGGTGTTGTGTTTCTCTTGGGCCCTGTATCCTGTTCCTGCTCCCTGTTCCTGTCTGATTCTCTGCTGACCCTGCTCTGATCCCTGGCTTGTCTGACCATTCTCCTCTGCCTGACCCTCTGTACCACGCTGCCCGCTACCTGCTGAACCTGGCCTGCCCCCTGTACCTACCTGCCCGATTGATATTGACCCGGCCTGCCTGACGACGCTTGCATTGTATGTACTGTTATCTGTGGGTGGTTGGTTGGTTTGTTTGCACTGTGTTATGTTTTAGTATTGCACTGCGTTTATGTTTGTATGGTTAGTGTTATTAAATTACATTGTTTATAACATATCTGAAGTCTGCGTTTCCCTGCGTCAGTCACACACCTCTGGTCATACCCGGGAGCCCTGACAGCAGGCCACTCAACCTCCACAAACGGGCCGCTTTTCATCTCCGGGTCTATCTTCACAAGATACCATGGACTGAACTGTGTCTCATGTTTATCCTTCTTCTTTCCACATTATTTTAGCCACACACACCAAACGGTGTACCCCGTGGGCTGTCATTACTGTCATTGTGGTTAATACCGTTGATATCCTCTCTCCCTCTATCTGTTAAATTCTGGTTGCCCCATTACCTGGGAATTGTTTGGCTCCCCCCCTCAGGGCCCCATTTTAGTTTAGTTTGTTTGAGAGCCTAGGCTCTGGCGGCATACGATGCTACGCCCCTTCCCCTGTGATGTCTCACTGACACTGCTAATGCCGTCTGAGTTTGGGATAGCGTGATCATCATGTATGTATTTCCTTTATGTACCTGTTTTTTTTTTTTTTTTGTTTTTTTTCTACCGGGACCTCGCCACTTTTTATCAATCAAGTTGCTGTCATCCTCATGGACCATGTACCTGCGTTATTGGTTATTTAATAACGCTTGGGCTACTATTGTTCCCTAGCCCACCCTGATTTAGGGTGTCCCTGGGAACCCATCTTTTAGGCCTTCAATGGCCTTTTACGCCCCTTCTTTCCTGTTACCTCTCCCATATCGTACCCCTCCTCCCTCCCTCCAACATGACTTCAAGACTCTGCACAACAAGCTCCACAGTGCCCTCATCCCCCGTCAGGCTCCACCTTGGGAGGTAGTCACATGCCATCCTAACCACTATGCACTTTCCCCATGGGTTCATTAAATATCCTTACCCTGAATGTCCAGGGCCTCAATATTCCACAGAAACGTAATAAGGCTTTCCGAACCTTTGCTACGCTTAAAGCTCATGTGGTTTGTCTACAGGAAACTCACTTCACTCCCCAACTCCACTCCTAAGTTTTTTGGCCCTCGATATCCTCAGATCTATACAGCCTCTGCCGCCACCAAACGCAGGGGGTACTGATAGCCTTTCATCGCACAACACCTTTTACGCTAGGCACCGAAATCAAAAGACCTGGAGGGTCGTTACCTCCTGTTAGTAGGGCAACTCCTGGATGTAGATGTCACCATTGCTGCATACTATGCCCCAAACCAAGACCCTTTACCATTCCTTTCCCACATACTCTCGGTTATAGACCACCATAAGCGCGGAACTTTAATTGTTAGCGGAGACTCTAATAGTGTAGTATATCCCTTCCTCGATAAATCCCCTCAACCATCTCCTGCCCCGGCCTGTAAACAAACTTTCCAAACCATTCTGCATCGTTACTCCTTGATAGATACATGGCGAGAACTCAACCCGGCGAAACCCCCACCAGTCATTCTCCAGGATAGATCATATTT